CAGTCGTCGAAACAGTTTGTTTGTTTGTTTTCGTTAGAAAAGTGCACACGACTCGGCAGAAAAGTAGCACTCGCTTTGTGTACGTGTTTTAGAAAAATACGAAAGTTGTACATCGAGAAGCAGCCTTTTTGTACCGCGTTAGAAATCGAAAGGAACACGGAGAAACGGCGCGGGCCTTGGCCGCGGCGGCGGCGACGGCTCGGGCCGGGTCGGGTCGGGTTGGGTCGAGTCGGGCCGAACCTGGTCGACCTCGACGAGAAAAACGGCAAAACCTTTGTACAAACGCGTCGACGAAACGCTACGAATAGTGTGTGTCTATTTCAAATCGCGGACGTGTCTCGGCTTTTATTGTCCTCGGCGGCAGACACGGGTCTCTCTCTCTCTTTCTTCTCTCTTCCCGGGTTTCGTTCGTCCATGTGTTCTCTTTCTCGCTCGTCATTCCACTTCGATTTCGGAGTCTTTCGTCGGAGCGCAACTTAAATATTCGTTTGCAAGACTTTAACAGGTGCGAAATTGGTTTGTCTCCTAAAATGCTACGGCGGGCCGATCGACCGCGGCCACCGGTGGGCCACCAATGGGCCACCAGTGGGCTACCAATGGGTCACCGATGGGCCACTAGCGGGCCACCATCGGGCCACCAGTGGGCCACCAGTGGGCTACCAATGGGTCACCGATGGGCCACTAACGGGCCACCAATGGGCCACCAGTGGGCTACCAATGGGTCACCGATGGGTCACCGATGGGCCACTAGCGGGCCACCAATGGGCCACCATCGGGCCACCAATGGGCCACCATCGGGCCACAAGCGGGCTACTAATGGGCCACCAGTGGGCCACTAGCGGGCCAGTAGCGGGCCACCATCGGGCCACCAGCGCGCCTCCGTCATCCAACGGAGGTTCCGTCCCGGCATCGAAACGCGTTCCGGTCGAAGAACGGGGTCGAACGAAAAATTCGAAGAAAAGGGACGAGCAGCTGGTTCGCGTCCCTTCGCTTTCGCGCGCTGCTCATCGTCGCTTCGATCGGAAAGGCGAGGTAACACACACACGCGGAGAAATTGCAACGCGCGGTTTCGCGCGAACGGATCGGGGAGCAAGGGAAACAAACGCGTTTCGAGCGCGGCGGACTCGTCGCTTCGAGGACAGAAAAAAACAACTCTCTATAAATCGTAACTCGACGATCAATTCCTCTGTACAGCGTTCGGTGGAACCGGCGCGGCGGCGGCGGCGGGAACGGAGGACGCGGCCTCCTCGCGTCTCTGCCGCGTCTACGGCGATGCAGAACGAAATGCGACGCGTGCTTCGAAGCTGGCGGCGTATCGGAAGTAAAAACGATGCTCGCGCGAAACAAGGGGACGATTCTGTTCCTAGATCGGCGCAACTGCTGCTCGGTAATCGCTGTCGAGATGTCCGCGCTGGAAACACAGTCGGTGGAAAAAGCCTGCGCGCAGGGCAAGCGTAGGCGTTATTACTTGACGGTTTCTCAACGAAGGCGAACTTTTGACAAAGAATATCGGATCGCCGAAAGCACGAATTTCATTGAAAAGCGTAACGCAAAGAAACCCCGTTCGCGCGCGTGTATTACTGCGGTTGCGTATCTATCACTGCGAGCCAAACACTGCGGACGATTACTGCGTGTCGAGGTTGACGCAACCCGTTTTCTATTAAATGTACACACACGCACAAACACACACGGCTATAATTCCTAAGATATTCTCGCTATGCAAGTTCGTAAGCTTCCGAATATCGCGAAAGTCGATAAATTAATTAAAAATTATCGCGATTGCTGCTACGTGTACGTCATGAATTATCGGTATTAAACGTATGAAAAAAAGAAATTATGAGATTCATCTTTAGAAAATCACACACTGTAAAACGTTACATTTTATTTCCTTTTATAAAATACCGCAGTGTTTGGGCCGTCCGCAGTAATATACCCACGCTTACATAACATCGTCGCATCGCGCGTTGCGAATATCGGTACATCTCGGACGCCGAATCCGAGAGACGGTTGCGAATTCTATGAAGGAACGCTCGGAACGTAGACCTCGAGGCGACGGTGGCCGAAGGTCGTCGCGTCGACGTCCTTCGCGTTTGCGTAATTAACCGCGAAAGCACGTCTGTCCACATCGAGAAAATCGCGGCGTTAATAATTCGCGCCTGTACGCGAAGCGTCTCGCTCGCTTTTATTTATCGTTCGTTCTCATTTCTATTATTCTTTCGTTAGTTCTTTACGTCTATTTATAGTAACAGTCTTGTCGACATCGCGCATGATTTTTCTCGCTCTCGTTATAGTCTATTTTCTAATCCTCCACCTCCTCCTCGACATCGTCGTCGTCGTCGTTTTCTTTTCATTTTATTACAAATCGTCATTATCTCCTTTCCCCTCTGCGCTCCATCAAATATTTCTCTAATACGTTACTTTAAAACTTGGCATTTTAATAAACTTTTTTCTTTTTCTTTTTTTTGTCTTCCTTTATATACGAATACTTTCACCGAAGAAAGCACGTCTTTGACACCCATTTTTCATCAACGTTCCTCGCCTCGCGATCGCGATATCGATCTAACTTTTCCCTCGTAAAAAATATACAACGTCGGATTTCTTCGCACAGGATCTTCGAATTCTCTCTCTCTCTCTCTTCCTCTCTGTACTTTTCTCGTTCTCTCTCTCTCTACCTCTCACATTCTCTCTCTCTCTCTCTCTCTCTCGTGCGCGCGCGCTTCCAATTTCTCGCCAGTTCTCCTCTCCGCGCGTTTCTCTTCTTTCCGCCCCTTCGTTCCTCCGTGTCTTCCTCGGTCGCCTCCCCCGTTTCTCGGTGTCACACACCGTTACCGACGCGATCGTGAACTGAAAAAAGAAAACGACACGTTTCTCATTTCTGCCTTTGCCTACTGCTCTTGAACGTTCACCCCCTGCTACCACCCCTGAGCGTCTTCGAACGCACGGCCGCGCGCGGCAACGAACACCTCGCCGCGTCCGCTTCCCTCGAAGATGTGTTCTCTCCGCCCGGTTCGAAGAACAACGAACAACAGAGATTGTTCTCGTGAAATAGAATCTCGAGTGCTCCCGGAAGCTTGGTTCCCCCTATCGGATTTAAATGCGCGCGCGCGCGCGATCACGGTCGCAAAAGTCTGCTTACAAATGTTTCTGACGCGTTTTTTATATTGTTTAGCTCGACTCTCCTGCTGCGTTCGAAAAAAGTTCAGTTCGTTCGATACATTGGAATTCAAATGATTTTCGAAAGCTGCTTAAAAGCTAACGTCACGCACGCCTGTGTGTGTGTGTCCGAACGTTTGGATCTGTATGCTGACTTTTGTGCGAGACTTTTGTGGAGAGCGAGAGCGAGAGAGAAAGAAAGAGAGAGAGAGAGAGAGAGAGAGAGAGAGAGAGAGAG